CAATTTCGATTTAACACTTCATTCGTTCATATGAAAATGGATTGTGGTGTTGTACAACGTATGCAACTGTGATAACAATAATATTGATAATAACAATCATAAAAAATAGTAACAAATATCTCAGTATGTTTGTGTTATCTTTACTAGCATCATTAATTTTCCATGCTACAGTCACTTGTGAACAAGTTGAGACCTCTTTCATCATTGAAACATTTCATCATGGTTCACAGAATCCTGGTCGTGTGTAAGGCTTCAACTTCCAATCTAATCTTGAAAAGGAGCAGAAAGATGGGTAAAGTCTTTTATAATATACTGACAATAATGTTGTATGGAAAAATAAGTCATGTCAACTAGTGCTACAGTCTGGGACAAAATCACAACCATCTTTTGTACCATGTGTTCCTCTCCAGTCACTTAAAACTCAATTAAACGTTATCGAAATCATTCGCAAACAGAGAAGAAAATCTTATGTTCGATAGATCTTTTCAAAAAGCCACACAATCGTATTTGTATTCATCATCAAATAATCTATAAAACCAATCAAATACTGATAATTGTCAGTTAAAAAATATTTCAACGTAATATCAGGGGAAATCTAGAAGCGAATGAAATCTCTGATTAATTTCAACACCAGCTGATAGACTTTCAACAGACATGTAGAATTCAATGACGAACAGAAGTGGATATGTATGATTTCCATCTCTAGAAGATTAATATCATAAGATTTCATTCTAACAGCATTTTGTTCCTGTTATGTTTTATTGTAAACAGCCATTATCAAGATAAAATAGGTTGAGTTTGTACTCTTTTGTACGTTGTATCATACATACCATATCAACTACTTGATAAGATGATAGATGGACTTTGAATCCAAATAAACTGTCATACAATAAACAGTTTTGTGTTATCAATCTAATTTCGTATCGACCAACGTATATAATCTGAACATCACTTTACGAGAAATCAAAGGCCAACACAATTCGCTTGATATTAGATAAAGAGAGATTATACTAACATTTCCAATGTATGCATATGTTGTGATGGAGAATTAAAGTAGACGTACAAAGGTAAGGTGAAAAAAATATGATGAAGCACCAGTATCGGATAGTGCACTCATCTTAAATGCAAAAAATAATTTATTATTTTCATAGCTTCAGTTCAGCACATGATAGACAATGTTCTCATGATAAACTGTTGCATATTCTATGAAACAATAGATCCATCTAGTCTTATTCTCTATATTCCAGCCTGACTATTCATTACACTGACATAATCGACATTTTCAGAGATAGATAGTTAAATGGTAGTGACGTGCGTTCGAATCTCGGATGAGGCATAATTTTCTTCATAGTCAGCCACGACTACACACCGATCGACTACTTCGATGATCTGATCTTGTGTAGCTCAATCAGTCAACAATATTTCACACCTGGTAGACAGATTTCCATCAATACACTCGAAAAAGACTGAAGATCAACACTGACTGCTGAGTGATGATTGAACTAAGGATTAATTACTCATGCGAAGACCGAACTCGCAAATATGTCACAAAAATACCTGACATCACCGACACTCATCACTCACATTTACATTCTGCAGTAAAGCATGTCTAACTCCATTAAGAAGAAATCAAAGTGATAGGCGTAGTAAGCCCAAAGACGTTCAGCGGCCACAGCGATGACCGGCCTTCAAAATACAAAATAAAAGAAACGAATCATTATAGGAGCAGTTATATGAATACTGAGACAAATATGTGGCCCTCAACTGTTCTAGAATGTTCATGTACAAACACACTGGAAGTACATTTCAAGACGAAGTATGATCTTATGACAGTTATCTTTTATAAACTTTGGTGGTTTGGAGTGAATGCGAAGATGAGTGTCATGGGTTTAGTGGGAGTATTAAATGACCGGCAGACTTTGATAGCTTAGAAAATGGCTGGTGAATGCTGATTAACACGAGTTGATGAGAAAAGATTAGACAATGAGTAACTTGACAGACAAAGAGACACCTGAATGCTGTGAGATGGTGATGAATTTCACTGAATTAAAGCAGTGTGATGCTGTTTTTGATTCATGTGAGAGGTTGGAGACTAATAAAGCTGACCAGTGGTGTTCTCTCTGCAGATCAAGCATAGGTATTCATAAATGCCTTTATGAGATACGAGAATCCCATTGACGACAATAAGCGTGACAAATGAAATTCACCATACACATCAGATGTACTCAGATCAGAAAATGAACAACTCGAAACCTGCTGATGTTTACTGGCAGCAGTTACACACATCGTTGTGGATGAGAGTGAGTCACTGTGAAGAAGAAGAGGAAGAAGTGTCAACATAAGTCAGTGATTTCGAAGTCAACCTTGGATTTAGTTGAATTACCACAAATCCAACATTCGAAAATAATTCCTACAATTCCATAGATAGCCGTTTAATATGAGCAAAGGTGTCAAATCAGCTGTGATTTTATTGCAATGTTGAGTATGAAAGCACACACACATATGTAGAGTGTTGTTGGCATTTATGAAAGAAAGTTCACTCACCATAGTTTCATCATCTTAGCTAATTTTGAATCACGCTTTTGTGAACAGAAACAGTGAGAGATGGTTTTTCAGTGTTTCAAAAGTCTTCAGCTTTACTTTCAACTATAACAGTAATGGCTGTATTCTGAACAATGTTTATATAATGTGCATAAGTTTTAGCACAGTTTATCGTACGATATTTCCTCTTCATCTAGGATCTGTAAATAAAGGATTAATTAACAGTAGATCGTGTGACACAGCTCCATCTGACCTGAAGCACAAACCAATCCGTTATGATATCTCTTCTTTGCCTCCTTCAAGAAATACACAACATTTTGTTGAATGCCAATCATAAAAAGTTTAGGAGTGCATTCTGTGATTGAGGGACTCCATTCAGGAACGATTATGTCATGTAGGGGGATAAGCTGCCTTCGAGGATAATGCTTTTCCTCATGTTTAGTGGGAACTTGAGAGTAAGCAGGTTGTGAACATTTGAAACACCCACCAGAGCAAACTATACTACTAGATTTAAACAAAGAGAATAAGAGAAACTACATGCGATACATTGATGGAGGTTTTCAACAGCCCAAGTTTTAACCAGGCCTCCAACTATCGTCAAACACTCATAATTAGGAATCGAATGTTACAGATACACCTTCCATAATTTACATACTTGAACATTGTGATGCTGTACGGCATGTGAGGCCAGTATATAGTCGATCTTCGATTCATAATCAGTTGTGTCCATTATGAAGGCATGTGGGTGAAGTGAAGAGGTTAACCTGAACCTACCTCAGCACTTGATGAATTACCAGTCAAGTGTGCTTACAGTCATGCACTAGATTTAAAGGATTAAACATGTGAAGTTGTCAAGTGACAACGTATTTCAGCCAAACCACCACTTCTACAAACAGACTTTGTCGCAGCCACTGAATTTTTCTCTCTCTCTTTCTATTCAGTAGGGCAAATGATGGCGCTAGTGAATAGTTACAGTTTTATTCAACGGTGTATTATTCAATGACAGTGAAAAGCGTTGCATTTTGCCGATTTCCAAACAACTGTAAGCATAGGGCGAGTACGGGGTAGAGGAGTGAGTAAATGAATCTGACAGAATCACCCATTATAGTATTCATACCGTTTTGAAATATAATTAATGCGTTATGTCGACATGACAGTGGGGATTGAGAAACTATTCTGTCTTTTGATGACTAACACATTTATATGGGTGTGCGGAATAGATTGACTCTGGGGGAGAAATGGAAACACTTCAACCACAGCACTGAAACTGCAAATTAATCAGCATGAAGAGATGTGCGATTCACTCATCGCCTCATCTGTCATCTAAATAAAAATGGTGTTATCATGAAGGTGGGTAGCTGAAGCCAGCACTATACAGTTTAGGTGGTGGATAGTCAGATAGATTATTAATTCTCATCGGTGAAGTTTATTCTGCATGAAATCCCCAGATTTTCAGATAGGATCATAAAGTGTAAGTAAAACATGTTAGAATGCGTAATAAGTATTCCGGGTTAGTTTAGTTGGGGTTTCGCGAAGAAAATTTATATGTAATGAATGGGTGACGAATGTCACAATGAAATCATTCTGTTCACAGGAAGAACAAGAACACCACCCCACCACCGCCACCGCCACCAACTACTACCACCACTACTTATGTTACGAAAACTCAGACTAGGCAGAGTACTCTCGTTCGCAACTTACATTGTGTTGCCACCACTCAAGGTTCTTCCAGAAGACATCGCACAACGTGCTACTGCAAAATTCTTGTCCTCAACGCGCACACCACTACACTGCTTCCGGGATTATTACACGCATTTCCGCCTACATCGCTAGTGTGTCTCAGGAAATTTCGAAGTTCTGTTCACTTGAGAAATTCAATCATCTCCATTAATAACCGATTACACTGCATCCACAACTAGCAGGAGTCATAGAAATGTTGAAATAGAAGGCAGTACTGTTGTATCTTAGACTGTAACCTTTCAACAGGGATGTGACATCTCACATGAAATCAATCAATACTTCACCGATCACCATGTTATGAACTCACTCTTCTCCTACTATTGAAGAGTGTCAAGATGATTTAGTCAAAGAACGTTTGTGGAAAGGAGAATTCATGGATTCAGTGAAACTCAGAACGGAATACATGGGTGGAATGCATCAACTTCAGCAGAATTATTGATTCACACAAATTCATTCTGTGTGTGTCAGCTGAATGGACTGATTATGCAAGAAATGGCTGTGGCTTTGGAGAAGATGCAATCACTTGTACAGATACACACAAATGCTGGCCATATTACACAACTGATATTTTTATAGGTGATCTGTGAAATCTGATCGATGATAAGGTTTCACTTTCATTTTACGCATTGAATGTTTGTGTGCAGACGATGAAAAGTGGAGGATTTCTGACACCTTGAGATGAAGAGTTCAGTAATGAATTAAGAGTGGGAAATCACTTACCACGATTGTAAGAGTAGATTGGTATCATCCACGTATGTTCCCCAGATGACGAATTCTCCACCGATAACTAATTTAGTTTCTTCTTCAGTACCTTTCACAGATGAAATATGGGTGCAAGATCTGTCAATATTCTCAAAATTACTATTATCAATGTTATTATTATAAGTAGTAGTATTTAACTAATTGCAGCTATACTTCGTGTTGTCAAGCACCTGGAATCTTAATAAATTGAAATATTTCTCAGTGAATCTGGGTTCTAATTAGTTCCACACTTACGTGCATGAGTAGTAGATGCTACAAGTCTGTGGAAAGCGTGTAGATGTGTAGCTGCAGACATATTATTATTATTATTATTATAGATGAGTTGTGATATGCAGCGCTCAACGTGTCAGGAATTCAGTACTTCCGTTATAAAGTCACATCTGCTAGATGACATTTTAAGATCACGAGTGAAATGTGTTGTGAAGTGGCACCAAAGTGAGGATAACTACCTGGTCACTCTTTTGTTTGCAATTTACTCGACCAATGATGATTATTTCTTATTCAAACAATATTCACCATAAGCTTGACTCACCAACAAAATCTGCAGGCTTGCAATAGTATAACTTTTCCCCATAGTCAGTGAAATCTCCGTAGTCCTCAAACCAACAGGCTGAGTTTATGACTCTGTAGCCAGCTGAAGTGATGGACTTGACGGCACTTTTCCAATCTGAATTATTTAGTACTTGTACAATGGTGTTAGGGCCGCCCTGGAAGACAAAACAATGATGAATAAGAACCACAAATTTCTACAGAATTCTGTCTGAAACGAGACTGGAGTAGTCACGTATTTATTGATGTGACAGTTGATTTCGCCTACTTCTTTTGTCAATGTTATTGTGAACTTTGACAATAGAAAGCACGTCACTTTAATGTTTTGGATTCAGTCATCTGAGTGTTCACCTATTTTTATATCGTCAAACACCTTGAAAATGAAGTCATGATTAATTTGGTCTCTTTGTTTGCTATCACCCACATACACACATTTCGCTTTCTCCATCGTGTGAATCAGTTCACGTGTATTCGAAAACGTTCCGTCTGTTACAACTTGTTTTGACTGTTGTACATATACTCCACCCATCATTTCAGATTAGGCGAAGCTGGTCCCTAACTAACTGTCTTTCCAAAGTCGCATAATGACATGGTATTCTGTTTATTTTCTTTATCTTTGCTTTAAGTCTAGTAACAACGTTTATGAAGAGGGAAAGTATAACATGAAAACTTAGTGCTGAATCCTGCAGATTTATCGCTACTGGCTTGAACAAGTCCAAAAATTCATCAAGGTATGAGAATCCTGAAAGTCCCCGAATGCGATTAATTCATAATAAATGAAGTGACATTAAACGCAGGTCACCTCCATCCAGTTTTAAGAGACACACCTTGCTCTGAGGTGTCGTATTACGTATACAAGTTGTGAGATTGTATAAATGATTGACAGCGAACAAGGTTGTTACATAAATTAAACATTCGTTAATACACCTGTGTTTGATATCGAATGTCTATTCTGCGAATTAAGTTATTCAAATTTGCATTCCTTTCTAAGATCCGAAATCCGTAGTGTTTTTATAGTATGATGTCAGTGACAGTTGAACATCTAGAGTAACAAGAGAATATATATTCTCACCACTGAGGTTATTCATATTTATATACAACGTTCCTCAAATCCATAAATGATCACATCAGTTATTGAGCGATGCTCAGGGTTTGTTAGTGCGAAAAGACAATACAGAACAAACAACGTAAGATTATTCCCTCGCTTAAACAGAAACCTACTCGATATCCGTCTTCAAATACACTCTGCCACACAACCGGTGTCATAGTCCTAGGTGCGTCTGAAGTAATATTCTGGATGATCTCCATGAGTTGTTCAAAATAATAACTTTCTAGTTTGTTGTAGTCTTCGTCGAATCCCTTCTCCTTCATAAATTTCTGGATCGCTTCATCTTCTCGCCTACATAAGGAAACGAATTGACGAAAAAGTGATTTGTGTGTTAAAGTCTGAACCATGGGAAGTGGATGGACTATAAAGTTCGGGCTACCTTCCACCATCCCCCACCAGGTAAGAAGACTGGATAGGTAGCAAATCTGATGTTTGGTTGGACAAAACACGTTGAAGACAGTCAAGATGGGAAACCGGTCATCCAAATAATATCGTTAATTCTGTCTGATTGATGTTTTGTCCTTCATTGTGTTTCACTTATTATCTTCCATGCAGGATTGTAAGCCCCTTATCAGGTTTCCTCCTAAGTGACTTTCCCAATCAGGTTTCTATTACTGCTGCGTCTCCGAAGACGTCGCTCCCCATTATACTCATATCCATTTATGCGTGGCACGCAACACACACCTTTTCATTTCCCGGTGGTTAGAAGTGGAATGATGAGACTCCTTTGGCAGCTGATGCAATAGTGTTGGAAGGGTAGACACATATCAGTCAATCGTGTGTCTGCTGAGTGTAACCTTTGTTGATGGAGGTCAAATTAACGAACAGCTAACAAATGAGTGTGAGTGTCTAAGCCCAATTGCTAGAATTTCGGGCAAATGCATTTGTCAACCTCACCTTCAATTGTCACTCATTCCATCGCATTCAGTCTGCTTGCTTACTCCTGTGAAATTGACAAGCTGCAAAAGGCTATCGAATCTACTAGCAGACTAAAACAGAATTGCACTAATTCGAAGATAATGTGTCCAAAAATGTTTAGGTGGTGGGATCGAGAGCGTGAATAAACATTAGAAGCCAGAGAACCAAATAGTCAGTGTGGAGAAATATTCAAACATGCCCCGTGATGTCGAAATGTTGAAAAAGAAATATGCGAGTAAACTGTTATCAATCCTTAGATTCAACTGGGAATTCTGTTGGTAATTATCATGAATCAGAATGTGATTGGGAGTATTGGCGAACATTTCTGCACTCGAATGAATCACCAGCACTTCGCACGAAATGCTTGCTACCAAACACGTCGACGTAGCCTAAACTCAAGCTGTCGAATTTCAACATCAATTTGAAGATTAGTACACTCACCACCAATGTTTGTCAAATACACTGCACCCAAATGCAGACAGTCATCGTGAAAAACACTTAAAATCTCTTGGAACAAGTTTGACAGAAATGTACGAACATTGTCATAGGTCGGGTTGATTGGTCCTTTACGTGCTTCGCCTGAGAGTATTTCTGGGTGTCCTTTACCCCATGACAGAGTATGTCCTGAAAATGTAATAAGGAAGTGGCTTCGAATTATCGTTCGGGCCAGGCAGTGAGCGTCCGATAGAAACTGGCTCAAACCATTTACAAATGAAACAATGCAATAAGGAGTCTGAGGAACCACATCAACATGTCTTAATTATAAGAAGACTGGAATGTTTTATTTCGCTGCTAACTATACTGCTAAGACTTACGAAAGCCCTGGTTCAATTGTCTGCGGATTTATTGCCATAAATGAGTGGGATAACTTCATATTAATCCGAAACATACTTCCAACTCTCTCTTGCCTAACCCAATAGCAATTCAGATAACATACATTTTGGTGTGAAGTATTTCCACATAATTACTGCATCTGATCTGGTAATATTTCACACTGTTGCTTTTCACAGTTCAATTAACCAGTGGTACAACGAAGAGGATATTTTAAACTGGGAGTGATTGGCTGACTCCGCCCCCTCCAACGGAACAATTACGAAGGATTAAGTCAATGATGCATCAGAGCTCGAAATTCTTCGGTGGTGTACACTGGAAACTCCGTGATGATCAGCCATCTAGAGTTTGAGGATTCAACTTCTCTCACTCTGTCGGAAACAAAATCGCTCATTCAGATAACTAGCTCTCCTCTCCTTGGCCTCGATATTCAACTTGACACAAATGCGTGTTACATTTTCGATGTGGCCGCCAATACAACCTGGTGGTTCACAAGGCTCTTGCACTAACGAGCTTTCTCACCTAGTAGATTTGTTAGTCTACTGTTCTAATCGTTATTCGCAACGACAACCACCACGACAAGACAACCACGCCAACACGTGAAGCAAGAAAGAAGGAGAGAAAGAACACAGACCGTGGATGAGAGAGCTTCAACTATCTCTAATCAAAAGTGAAATGGCCTGACAGCAATTCCACATATATATGTTTTAAATGACCTACGGAGACACTGATTTCATTGATAAGATGAAACAGCCAACAACCAATAGAGTTCAGCCGTCATAAGGGAGTGAAATACAAACATCTCATTACCTCAAATAAAGGTAGTAGTTTAAGGCTTTGTATAAATCAAGTGTACATAACAAATTTACTAGGAATACTAAGGATAATCCTACAATGCGTTATCCTTACTCAATAATGTGACAGATCCACTGAACTGGCTAAACGCATTCGCTAAAAAATCAAAACACAAAGGAATTCGCCATTCAAGACGTCCAATAAAATCATATCATACTTAAATAAATCGGAGGGTCAAAGAGCTGTTGTATTGAGGAAAAAATATCATCGAATATAAATCTCACCTGGTGTATCAAATTCCACTATCACGCGAACTCCACGTAGTCGGGCGAATTCTATCAACGAGCCAATCTCACCCCTTTCATATACATATTCACGTGGATGATATGCTCCCTGAGAATTCCAAAGAGAAATTATTCATTCCCACGATAATTTCTTACCTTCGAAGATAATTCAGGATAAACGGTGGAAGAATACGGAAAGGATTCATCATCTGTCATATGCCAGTGCAATACATTCATCTTCATTATTGACAATGCAGCCTTTATTCAAGTTCAATGAAACACGTGAATGGAAGTGCCGAACTACTTACTGTAATATTTTTGATAGCTTCAGTTCTCAGATAATGCTTGGAAGTGCCAATCAACACTCCTCTATGTGGAAGTCTTGGCGAATCTTCTACTTTGCGTTGAAATATCACATTCTAATAGTAGTTTGTGGGAGTAATTCTAAACTTTACCTGACCGAGTTCACTTCTGTACACCAATTGAAGTATTGTTTCAAATGCATGTAACGTTCCCCAAATCTCTTCTGAATGAATACTTATCGTGCCGTTGTCAATCTTCACCGAATCTGGACAATTAATTATATGTTTTCATTTAAACTTCACAGATGTACTAAACTTACATGACTCGTCCATTGAGGCTGATGGCCACAATTCGTTCTCTTCTTCATTACATCCTCCAGATATGTTAAATACAATACGAGATATCGAACATCCATCTGTAAATTGGTAGACGATTGGTATGTGTTTCATTTTCAGTCGTGATACAAAGCGCCTTGTGGCTTCCTTCAATATGTAGCATGAGGTATAACTGTTTTCGAAGCTCACTGATTCACTTATTTTGCATAGTACACCGTGATCAGAAGATTCTTTCGTATTAGGAATTATAGCGTGGGAAATTACTAAGTTAAATATTAGGAGCGTTGTTGAGAATTTCATGGTGAAGATTTTGTCAATCTGAAAGAAAGACAGACGTATTGTTTTAGTTCTCTCAATTTTGTGATGACTCTGAAACTGAGCATTTCATCACCACAGATCTTCAAATGACATCACAAGCCAGGCCCTCAAATTTAATTACAGTGCGAACAACCTTCACCTATTTTAATATAATTTGTGCAAAATTGAAGGTATGATCACGGCAGTATGGTTGAGTGATTAGAAACCTACCTAATGCCCCGCGTAACACTATGATTCTCATCGACATCATATAAACTATAATGATTCCACGAAAATATTTACGTTGCACAGATATCGACTGAGTTGCATTTTTTGAATGCAGAGGACTAAATGACACATGTTCTGTTTGCATCCCGTGAATCTCACACATACACAAAGATAGGCACAACTGTTGTGTTTAATCACCAATCATAAAATGTTCCATTGAAACATTAGATCTCCTGAATAAATCAATCACAAAAACCAATCGAATAGAAACCCAGTGTGTTATGAAATGGCACTGCTGAGAGGTGCATTGGTGTTTGGTGAACTGAGAAGAATCAAAGTAATGATGAGTGTTTTATGAGAGATAAAAAGCTAGTTGTGTTACTGCATTGCACAGTAATCTGCTTCATGAAACTGACGACACCAGTACTGACTGTAGTTAAATTGTCTTTCATTTAATTATATAGAGAGGAGGAAATGGTGAATGGTTCAAAGTATGTAACACCAGACTTTGTTATTAGAACACAACGGAGATACTTTGAAATGCGAAATTTATTAGCTAACAGAATGACCACAACAGTTGTCAAGTGGTGTGATTAGGAAGATACTCTTGCCCACATGGCATACATAGACAATTAGTATCTTTTAGAAGTGATAAAGTTTCTCGTCGAAACCTGTATTAGCTAATCCAATTCTAAATTCCGCGCTGAATGACTTTGGACATTCAGAGTAAGAGTGAACTAATATGAGCAGCATACACCTTATCTGCATAGTCAGCATCAGCTGACTGAGTGATAGAGGATGGCAAAGTTTGAGTTGTCATGCAATTGTCTTCATCAGCCATATAAAGGCGAATAAGAGCTGTGGCAGCTGAAAGTCTCTGGTCCCATTTTGCGTATAACTTTGCTTATTTACCAAAGAGACTGAATGATCTCAACTGCCGAATGAGAACGTAAGTTATAAATAATTGTATTGTCATTTCACTAAACATATAAGTCCTCTCTAATGCTTTGCTGCATATGACGTTCTGTATAACGTCAAAAGGGCTAAAATACAGGACTGCGAACAATTGGATCGTTTGAAGCAACTACATCTGAAGGCATTGATGCGGTGTTTTTAAGTTAACTTTGTCATCCACCCAATACCTGAATCAGTTACATAGATAATCAAATTCCCACAGACTCCTCCTATCTTGCTTACTAATGTATTTATCTTCTATACACTCCTCTTCATTTTTTGAATTTTGTATTGCTTACGGATTTTACACATTTCGTCTGTCTGAATCTTCAGTAATCACTCGCCGGTTTATAACTACTGTTGAACATATAGTAGTGTGTGTGTCTCGCCAATTCTTATCGATAGCACACAAAACGCACAAATAATGGCGCTGAAATTTGTTAGGGATTAAGCAGAAATGTGCATTGTTTGGTTCATGATAAAATTTATCCACGATAAAAAGAGGACCATAAGGCTCTCTCTGTAGTTTTTCCCCAAAGTAAAATTAACGGATTCGAAATTCAAAGCACATCGGAATCGCGTTTAAATGACTACTATTTTTTATTTTTGATTACAGCTTGATTCCACACTGTATTTTTGGTACAAGTATGGAATTTTCAGCGTGGATATCGGTAGCCCAAATTTCGCAGGCCGACCATAGATATCAGGTGTGCGTCGGCGAGGGCTCGAACACCGGACCATGTGCATGGTCGGCGAGAGTCCTAACCACTGTGCCACCGACGCACAAGAGGAAACCGAACATGCTACGTCATCTCTATTGTATGTGCAGGGGGTAACATTTGTCGACTTAAAGGACCAATAGACCTGACTAGGCAAAATAATACTTACTACCACACACCACATATTTACTATGGGATTATGTAAATAGGTCAGACTGATAGGTCGGGGCCAGTAAAATTATTAGAACATAAGGATTTAGATAAGTCTATAATGACTGCCCTCTCTAAGTTAAGTAATCTAGCAACACGCCCGGTCATTGCAGTGCATCGTCGATTCAATGGTAGAGTGCTCTACAGCCACGCAGGAGGTTCGGACTAAGTTCCTGGCGATAAATTCATAAACCTCACCTAGTTCACTAGCGAGAAGTGACCTGGAAAATGAGAGAAGTTCACGTATGAGGCTAGCAACTCCGCTTCGTGAGGAAGAACACTACCACCACTGAAACTTCAAATCTCAAAGCTTGAAGCCCCGTGTTCCACTCGGAACTCAGGGAATGCAAGGGAAAATTGGCACACCGACATATTTATGAACAACCAATTGTGACCTAAACAAAATCCAATTACTAACACTATATCACCATGTGTTTGTTATATTAAATAAACTCACCTAATGCAGAGTTATATTCAGTTATAGTCAGTCATCTTACAAAATGAGTTAAGTTGTGGAAGGATGACATCTCTGGGACCGTTCGTTAGGAAATAAAGATATATCGAGTCTCATTTTGTCAAATTCCAGATGATACATAGGTGAAGAAGCGAACCCACCAACAATGTCACACAGAATAACGTCAGTGAAATGCTCACACAAATTTGAGGTGAGTCTGTTCATCACTGTCCAAGGGATCTGAATATATCATCTGATTTCAAAGAAGACGAATAACGCACTGCAACAGCTCACACAATCTCCTTACTGACAGACAATCACAGTAAGTAGTCCAGCGACTCTTAGAAAATGATTAATATGCTGTAGCTTCTGAAGGTTAGGCCATTCTTCTTGTGACAACACCTTATGATGTAATTGGTTACAAAGTGATTTAGGAGAACTAGGATTTGACACTTAACTTCAAGTGAAATACCGAATTTCTCTCATCACCCACCAGATGTATAAATTGAAAGATGAGACGATGCAAATGACTCACCGCTATACCAAGAAGGCAATAGCTTGTAGAATATTCATGATACGAAGAAAGATTTTCAGACATTAGTACTATTATTAAATGCAAACTGGTTTTTCACTAGGATGTTATTCAACACTAAGGCACCATTGTGTGTATGGGGCTATCACCCTCTGCGTTCAATCACTTACGTCTCGACAGATGTACCGCATAAAATAACATTCACGTTTGTTTCGCTTTAACGCTTAGAATTCAATCACCCATTATTTTAACATAGGGGAATGTGAGCATTCACAATTTTTGTGAAGTGCAAATACAATCTGATCAAGAAAAAAATGGGGAAAATTCATCTGTGCAGAGACAAGTTGGTTAGGATTAAAATTTGTTATAGGAGCGCTTACTTCAATGTTAGGAGTACGTCAAGGAGCAGTATAATTGTAGGCTATCTCATCCACACTACCGCCTTAGCTTAAATAAGGTTTATAGTAAGTTAATAAGTTTCAAAGTTCAGTCAGAATACTTTAGACGTCACTTTAACCCACATTTTCTCACGTAGTTGGTAAATAATGATGTTCATGATGGTGACACTGCTTTGTAAACAGCTAAGCTAAAAGAAAACTTTGACCTGTCTCAGACGAACAGACTGAAAACTGATAAATACACATTGAAATGTGTGGTAGCTTTTGAGATAGAAAGCAAATTACTAAAACTTATTTTAGAGAAACATTCAAGGTTGATAAATGATAATTCTCTGTTGATAGATATCAATTCATCTCTGTCGTTATTCGTTTTTGGATATGAATGGATTGTGTGGAGTTTAAGTGTTGCTCGATAAGATTTCAGCGATGTGATGACCTGGTTAGCAGCGATATCTCAAAGATTAGCTGACACACTGGTAGGTTAGTAAGTAGTGGAGTGTTAGTCAGAATCCCACATCAATCCAGATTTACATTCCATTTTCAGTCATCACCCATTGGTCAAAGTTTAGCTGAACTGATATATTTGCTTTTCCATTTACTTTCTCTTCTCAAACACTTGGGCAGGAAAGAAATGTTTGCAGATGATTTCCCATAACTAGTACCAGTTATCGCCACCGCTTACAAATGAGGAGAAACTCCTGGTCATCAATAAAACTAAGCTGATCGATATTACATCTTATATACATCAGAAGATAATCAACCATAAATCTTCGATTTGAGTTCCACACTCGTTTGTACTCCCCAGGTCGATGAATGTGCAAGCTCAAACCTGACTCCTGGTGTCTACAATACTTGACAATAATCCATGCAGTATCACATTCACAGAAGACGACAACAAAGAGTCTGCAGACTTTGTGATTGATGAACAACTCTATAAGTGAGGCTCACTAAAATATAAACATGCTAATGTTGATGCTCTATTTCGTGAGAAAAGCGCAGAAATGAAGCACGGAGTGATTGTTATCCCATGAAAATATATGATGACTTCCGAAAGATGAAAGCACATTTAGTTTGAATACATGTGTATTTTGACTAACTGCCAATGCCCATTACACATGAGGTTGATCTGGTGACTGAGTGATCTGATACGTAGTGCTGATTTTGGGTTCTTTTCCCAGTATTTGATAGGATAAGAGATAAGCTGCCATTAACAGAGTCGTATGGAATTTATTCACTATAATAAATTTCTATATGTAAACTGAAATGAATCTGTCACTGTTTTATTATAGTGTATAGAGATGTTTAGGATGATGGAGAGCCTTTGAACGTGAAACAAAATTTTACTAGACTCTTCCAAAAATGTCAACTTGAAATAATCGATTCAGATGTTTTATGATACTGATTTATTATGATTAGAAGTGATCAGGAAATAGGTCGCACTTCAGACAGTGTTAAACTATAAGATGGTAATCACTGCAAACCAAATAGAATGATTATGCATTAAATGAGATAAACTACATTAGCAACAATAGTTATGTTCACTGAAGTAGGACATACAAAACATGGTATGAACTTATGTTCGTAAGTAATATGAAGCTGATCATAAAAGAAATATTAACTAATGAGAGATGAAAGAAAAATTAAAATTCACGTCATGTAAACCAGGCCCCTAACAACTAAGAATGTTTGGCATAACTAGAAAATTAAAACAATTAGTCCCTTTGATAAATTTGAATAAAGCATTAAGAAGACAAATTCCGCGAGATGATATGATTTCGTAGTTTCTTTACAACCGCTTTACAACTAACATGGTTAACAATGATAAAATAAGGTTCATGAAAATTACTCAGTTAAATAACAACCTGGACTGCTTGACCTATCTTAATATGATTGGTCATTAGTATGTACTTTTGTTTTTATTTAACTGAGTAATTTTCATGAACTTTATTTTATCATTGTTAACCATGTTAGTTGTAAAGCGGTTGTAAAGAAACTACGAAATGATATCATCTCGCGAAATTTGTCTTCTTAATGCCTTATTCAAAGTTACCATTTATGTCTTAAATGAAATGTAATAATGAAATGAAACGCTCTAACTACTTATAGTCTTCAAAGTAGTTAGCAATTGTAAAATGAATTATCAACTGTCGAATCATTTATGTGACAATCTTCAATGAAAATTGCTAATTGAAATACTTCTATTTATTTTCCGGACATTTGCGCGCTGTTTCATCTGACCATGGGTCGCCCTTGACAAAGATTTGCCCCATTTTCTTATTGAACCACAATGCTAGTGCATTTGACGGCATTCAGACTAAGATAACTCACGCTTCGAAGTTTGTACTTTATTGTCGTCATTTTATATGTAATATATCGTTGTACTTAAGACGTATCCAGTGTTTTTGAATTTTACACGAATATCAAACGTTTCTTTTAATTAATGAATTCAGTTGTCTCTACGGATTTCTTCGAATGAACCTAAAATGGAAAAGGAATTTTTCTCTCTCACAGACTGACGTCAATATCTGAGAGGGATAACCACACTGAAACTTGACTATTAGTCAGCATATTTCACAGGGCTTAATGCAGCCGATTCGTAAGTAATTCAGTCTTTGTATTTCCTTATATTTTCACATTTATAAACACAGCCATCTGCAAGACAGAAGAATCTGCTTCTTTGCAGCACTATAATTCACGAGATGAATGCCAACTTTGAAGACAAACCTCTATATACCATTACAGTATAATAATGAAATACATAAAATGTCATAAAGTATTTAACTTACATAAAACTATATAGGTGGATCCGTACAGCATTCTCACTATTTCCTGATCACTTCTAATCATAATAAATCAGTATCATAAAACATCTGAATCGATTATTTCAAGTTGACATTTTTGGAAGAGTCTAGTAAAATTTTGTTTCACGTTCAAAGGCTCTCCATCATCCTAAACATCTCTATACACTATAATAAAACAGTGACAGATTCATTTCAGTTTACATATAGAAATTTATTATAGTGAATAAATTCCATACGACTCTGTTAATGGCAGCTTATCTCTTATCCTATCAAATACTGGGAAAAGAACCCAAAATCAGCACTACGTATCAGATCACTCAGTCACCAGATCAACCTCATGTGTAATGGGCATTGGCAGTTAGTCAAAATACACATGTATTCAAACTAAATGTGCTTTCATCTTTCGGAAGTCATCATATATTTTCATGGGATAACAATCACTCCGTGCTTCATTTCTGCGCTTTTCTCACGAAATAGAGCATCAACATTAGCATGTTTATATTTTAGTGAGCCTCACTTATAGAGTTGTTCATCAATCACAAAGTCTGCAGACTCTTTGTTGTCGTCTTCTGTGAATGTGATACTGCATGGATTATTGTCAAGTATTGTAGACACCAGGAGTCAGGTTTGAGCTTGCACATTCATCGACCTGGGGAGTACAAACGAGTGTGGAACTCAAATCGAAGATTTATGGTTGATTATCTTCTGATGTATATAAGATGTAATATCGATCAGCTTAGTTTTATTGATGACCAGGAGTTTCTCCTCATTTGTAAGCGGTGGCGATAACTGGTACTAGTTATGGGAAATCATCTGCAAACATTTCTTTCCTGCCCAAGTGTTTGAGAAGAGAAAGTAAATGGAAAAGCAAATATATCAGTTCAGCTAAACTTTGACCAATGGGTGATGACTGAAAATGGAATGTAAATCTGGATTGATGTGGGATTCTGACTAACACTCCACTACTTACTAACCTACCAGTGTGTCAGCTAATCTTTGAGATATCGCTGCTAACCAGGTCATCACATCGCTGAAATCTTATCGAGCAACACTTAAACTCCACACAATCCATTCATATCCAAAAACGAATAACGACAGAGATGAATTGATATCTATCAACAGAGAATTATCATTTATCAACCTTGAATGTTTCTCTAAAATAAGTTTTAGTAATTTGCTTTCTATCTCAAAAGCTACCACACATTTCAATGTGTATTTATCAGTTTTCAGTCTGTTCGTCTGAGACAGGTCAAAGTTTTCTTTTAGCTTAGCTGTTTACAAAGCAGTGTCACCATCATGAACATCATTATTTACCAACTACGTGAGAAAATGTGGGTTAAAGTGACGTCTAAAGTATTCTGACTGAACTTTGAAACTTATTAACTTACTATAAACCTTATTTAAGCTAAGGCGGTAGTGTGGATGAGATAGCCTACAATTATACTGCTCCTTGACGTACTCCTAACATTGAAGTAAGCGCTCCTATAACAAATTTTAATCCTAACCAACTTGTCTCTGCACAGATGAATTTTCCCCATTTTTTTCTTGATCAGATTGTATTTGCACTTCACAAAAATTGTGAATGCTCACATTCCCCTATGTTAAAATAATGGGTGATTGAATTCTAAGCGTTAAAGCGAAACAAACGTGAATGTTATTTTATGCGGTACATCTGTCGAGACGTAAGTGATTGAACGCAGAGGGTGATAGCCCCATACACACAATGGTGCCTTAGTGTTGAATAACATCCTAGTGAAAAACCAGTTTGCATTTAATAATAGTACTAATGTCTGAAAATCTTTCTTCGTATCATGAATATTCTACAAGCTATTGCCTTCTTGGTATAGCGGTGAGTCATTTGCATCGTCTCATCTTTCAATTTATACATCTGGTGGGTGATGAGAGAAATTCGGTATTTCACTTGAAGTTAAGTGTCAAATCCTAGTTCTCCTAAATCACTTTGTAACCAATTACATCATAAGGTGTTGTCACAAGAAGAATGGCCTAACCTTCAGAAGCTACAGCATATTAATCATTTTCTAAGAGTCGCTGGACTACTTACTGTGATTGTCTGTCAGTAAGGAGATTGTGTGAGCTGTTGCAGTGCGTTATTCGTCTTCTTTGAAATCAGATGATATATTCAGATCCCTTGGACAGTGATGAACAGACTCACCTCAAATTTGTGTGAGCATTTCACTGACGTTATTCTGTGTGACATTGTTGGTGGGTTCGCTTCTTCACCTATGTATCATCTGGTAATTTGACAAAATGAGACTCGATATATCTTTATTTCCTAACGAACGGTCCCAGAGATGTCATCCTTCCACAACTTAACTCATTTTGTAAGATGACTGACTATAACTGAATATAACTCTGCATTAGGTGAGTTTATTTAATATAACAAACACATGGTGATATAGTGTTAGTAATTGGATTTTGTTTAGGTCACAATTGGTTGTTCATAAATATGTCGGTGTGCCAATTTTCCCTTGCATTCCCTGAGTTCCGAGTGGAACACGGGGCTTCAAGCTTTGAGATTTGAAGTTTCAGTGGTGGTAGTGTTCTTCCTCACGAAGCGGAGTTGCTAGCCTCATACGTGAACTTCTCTCATTTTCCAGGTCACTTCTCGCTAGTGAACTAGGTGAGGTTTATGAATTTATCGCCAGGAACTTAGTCCGAACCTCCTGCGTGGCTGTAGAGCACTCTACCATTGAATCGACGATGCACTGCAATGACCGGGCGTGTTGCTAGATTACTTAACTTAGAGAGGGCAGTCATTATAGACTTATCTAAATCCTTATGTTCTAATAATTTTACTGGCCCCGACCTATCAGTCTGACCTATTTACATAATCCCATAGTAAATATGTGGTGTGTGGTAGTAAGTATTATTTTGCCTAGTCAGGTCTATTGGTCCTTTAAGTCGACAAATGTTACCCCCTGCACATACAATAGAGATGACGTAGCATGTTCGGTTTCCTCTTGTGCGTCGGTGGCACAGTGGTTAGGACTCTCGCCGACCATGCACATGGTCCGGTGTTCGAGCCCTCGCCGACGCACACCTGATATCTATGGTCGGCCTGCGAAATTTGGGCTACCGATATCCACGCTGAAAATTCCATACTTGTACCAAAAATACAGTGTGGAATCAAGCTGTAATCAAAAATAAAAAATAGTAGTCATTTAAACGCGATTCCGATGTGCTTTGAATTTCGAATCCGTTAATTTTACTTTGGGGAAAAACTACAGAGAGAGCCTTATGGTCCTCTTTTTATCGTGGATAAATTTTATCATGAACCAAACAATGCACATTTCTGCTTAATCCCTAACAAATTTCAGCGCCATTATTTGTGCGTTTTGTGTGCTATCGATAAGAATTGGCGAGACACACACACTACTATATGTTCAACAGTAGTTATAAACCGGCGAGTGATTACTGAAGATTCAGACAGACGAAATGTGTAAAATCCGTAAGCAATACAAAATTCAAAAAATGAAGAGGAGTGTATAGAAGATAAATACATTAGTAAGCAAGATAGGAGGAGTCTGTGGGAATTTGATTATCTATGTAACTGATTCAGGTATTGGGTGGATGACAAAGTTAACTTAAAAACACCGCATCAATGCCTTCAGATGTAGTTGCTTCAAACGATCCAATTGTTCGCAGTCCTGTATTTTAGCCCTTTTGACGTTATACAGAACGTCATATGCAGCAAAGCATTAGAGAGGACTTATATGTTTAGTGAAATGACAATACAATTATTTATAACTTACGTTCTCATTCGGCAGTTGAGATCATTCAGTCTCTTTGGTAAATAAGCAAAGTTATACGCAAAATGGGACCAGAGACTTTCAGCTGCCACAGCTCTTATTCGCCTTTATATGGCTGATGAAGACAATTGCATGACAACTCAAACTTTGCCATCCTCTATCACTCAGTCAGCTGATGCTGACTATGCAGATAAGGTGTATGCTGCTCATATTAGTTCACTCTTACTCTGAATGTCCAAAGTCATTCAGCGCGGAATTTAGAATTGGATTAGCTAATACAGGTTTCGACGAGAAACTTTATCACTTCTAAAAGATACTAATTGTCTATGTATGCCATGTGGGCAAGAGTATCTTCCTAATCACACCACTTGACAACTGTTGTGGTCATTCTGTTAGCTAATAAATTTCGCATTTCAAAGTATCTCCGTTGTGTTCTAATAACAAAGTCTGGTGTTACATACTTTGAACCATTCACCATTTCCTCCTCTCTATATAATTAAATGAAAGACAATTTAACTACAGTCAGTACTGGTGTCGTCAGTTTCATGAAGCAGATTACTGTGCAATGCAGTAACACAACTAGCTTTTTATCTCTCATAAAACACTCATCATTACTTTGATTCTTCTCAGTTCACCAAACACCAATGCACCTCTCAGCAGTGCCATTTCATAACACACTGGGTTTCTATTCGATTGGTTTTTGTGATTGATTTATTCAGGAGATCTAATGTTTCAATGGAACATTTTATGATTGGTGATTAAACACAACAGTTGTGCCTATCTTTGTGTATGTGTGAGATTCACGGGATGCAAACAGAACATGTGTCATTTAGTCCTCTGCATTCAAAAAATGCAACTCAGTCGATATCTGTGCAACGTAAATATTTTCGTGGAATCATTATAGTTTATATGATGTCGATGAGAATCATAGTGTTACGCGGGGCATTAGGTAGGTTTCTAATCACTCAACCATACTGCCGTGATCATACCTTCAATTTTGCACAAATTATATTAAAATAGGTGAAGGTTGTTCGCACTGTAATTAAATTTGAGGGCCTGGCTTGTGATGTCATTTGAAGATCTGTGGTGATGAAATGCTCAGTTTCAGAGTCATCACAAAATTGAGAGAACTAAAACAATACGTCTGTCTTTCTTTCAGATTGACAAAATCTTCACCATGAAATTCTCAACAACGCTCCTAATATTTAACTTAGTAATTTCCCACGCTATAATTCCTAATACGAAAGAATCTTCTGATCACGGTGTACTATGCAAAATAAGTGAATCAGTGAGCTTCGAAAACAGTTATACCTCATGCTACATATTGAAGGAAGCCACAAGGCGCTTTGTATCACGACTGAAAATGAAACACATACCAATCGTCTACCAATTTACAGATGGATGTTCGATATCTCGTATTGTATTTAACATATCTGGAGGATGTAATGAAGAAGAGAACGAATTGTGGCCATCAGCCTCAATGGACGAGTCATGTAAGTTTAGTACATCTGTGAAGTTTAAATGAAAACATATAATTAATTGTCCAGATTCGGTGAAGATTGACAACGGCACGATAAGTATTCATTCAGAAGAGATTTGGGGAACGTTACATGCATTTGAAACAATACTTCAATTGGTGTACAGAAGTGAACTCGGTCAGGTAAAGTTTAGAATTACTCCCACAAACTACTATTAGAATGTGATATTTCAACGCAAAGTAGAAGATTCGCCAAGACTTCCACATAGAGGAGTGTTGATTGGCACTTCCAAGCATTATCTGAGAACTGAAGCTATCAAAAATATTACAGTAAGTAGTTCGGCACTTCCATTCACGTGTTTCATTGAACTTGAATAAAGGCTGCATTGTCAATAATGAAGATGAATGTATTGCACTGGCATATGACAGATGATGAATCCTTTCCGTATTCTTCCACCGTTTATCCTGAATTATCTTCGAAGGTAAGAAATTATCGTGGGAATGAATAATTTCTCTTTGGAATTCTCAGGGAGCATATCATCCACGTGAATATGTATATGAAAGGGGTGAGATTGGCTCGTTGATAGAATTCGCCCGACTACGTGGAGTTCGCGTGATAGTGGAATTTGATACACCAGGTGAGATTTATATTCGATGATATTTTTTCCTCAATACAACAGCTCTTTGACCCTCCGATTTATTTAAGTATGATATGATTTTATTGGACGTCTTGAATGGCGAATTCCTTTGTGTTTTGATTTTTTAGCGAATGCGTTTAGCCAGTTCAGTGGATCTGTCACATTATTGAGTAAGGATAACGCATTGTAGGATTATCCTTAGTATTCCTAGTAAATTTGTTATGTACACTTGATTTATACAAAGCCTTAAACTACTACCTTTATTTGAGGTAATGAGATGTTTGTATTTCACTCCCTTATGACGGCTGAACTCTATTGGTTGTTGGCTGTTTCATCTTATCAATGAAATCAGTGTCTCCGTAGGTCATTTAAAACATATATATGTGGAATTGCTGTCAGGCCATTTCACTTTTGATTAGAGATAGTTGAAGCTCTCTCATCCACGGTCTGTGTTCTTTCTCTCCTTCTTTCTTGCTTCACGTGTTGGCGTGGTTGTCTTGTCGTGGTGGTTGTCGTTGCGAATAACGATTAGAACAGTAGACTAACAAATCTACTAGGTGAGAAAGCTCGTTAGTGCAAGAGCCTTGTGAACCACCAGGTTGTATTGGCGGCCACATCGAAAATGTAACACGCATTTGTGTCAAGTTGAATATCGAGGCCAAGGAGAGGAGAGCTAGTTATCTGAATGAGCGATTTTGTTTCCGACAGAGTGAGAGAAGTTGAATCCTCAAACTCTAGATGGCTGATCATCACGGAGTTTCCAGTGTACACCACCGAAGAATTTCGAGCTCTGATGCATCATTGACTTAATCCTTCGTAATTGTTCCGTTGGAGGGGGCGGAGTCAGCCAATCACTCCCAGTTTAAAATATCCTCTTCGTTGTGCAACTGGTTAATTGAACTGTGAAAAGCAACAGTGTGAAATATTACCAGATCAGATGCAGTAATTATGTGGAAATACTTCACACCAAAATGTATGTTATCTGAATTGCTATTGGGTTAGGCAAGAGAGAGTTGGAAGTATGTTTCGGATTAATATGAAGTTATCCCACTCATTTATGGCAATAAATCCGCAGACAATTGAACCAGGGCTTTCGTAAGTCTTAGCAGTATAGTTAGCAGCGAAATAAAACATTCCAGTCTTCTTATAATTAAGACATGTTGATGTGGTTCCTCAGACTCCTTATTGCATTGTTTCATTTGTAAATGGTTTGAGCCAGTTTCTATCGGACGCTCACTGCCTGGCCCGAACGATAATTCGAAGCCACTTCCTTATTACATTTTCAGGACATACTCTGTCATGGGGTAAAGGACACCCAGAAATACTCTCAGGCGAAGCACGTAAAGGACCAATCAACCCGACCTATGACAATGTTCGTACATTTCTGTCAAACTTGTTCCAAGAGATTTTAAGTGTTTTTCACGATGACTGTCTGCATTTGGGTGCAGTGTATTTGACAAACATTGGTGGTGAGTGTACTAATCTTCAAATTGATGTTGAAATTCGACAGCTTGAGTTTAGGCTACGTCGACGTGTTTGGTAGCAAGCATTTCGTGCGAAGTGCTGGTGATTCATTCGAGTGCAGAAATGTTCGCCAATACTCCCAATCACATTCTGATTCATGATAATTACCAACAGAATTCCCAGTTGAATCTAAGGATTGATAACAGTTTACTCGCATATTTCTTTTTCAACATTTCGACATCACGGGGCATGTTTGAATATTTCTCCACACTGACTATTTGGTTCTCTGGCTTCTAATGTTTATTCACGCTCTCGATCCCACCACCTAAACATTTTTGGACACATTATCTTCGAATTAGTGCAATTCTGTTTTAGTCTGCTAGTAGATTCGATAGCCTTTTGCAGCTTGTCAATTTCACAGGAGTAAGCAAGCAGACTGAATGCGATGGAATGAGTGACAATTGAAGGTGAGGTTGACAAATGCATTTGCCCGAAATTCTAGCAATTGGGCTTAGACACTCACACTCATTTGTTAGCTGTTCGTTAATTTGACCTCCATCAACAAAGGTTACACTCAGCAGACACACGATTGACTGATATGTGTCTACCCTTCCAACACTATTGCATCAGCTGCCAAAGGAGTCTCATCATTCCACTTCTAACCACCGGGAAATGAAAAGGTGTGTGTTGCGTGCCACGCATAAATGGATATGAGTATAATGGGGAGCGACGTCTTCGGAGACGCAGCAGTAATAGAAACCTGATTGGGAAAGTCACTTAGGAGGAAACCTGATAAGGGGCTTACAATCCTGCATGGAAGATAATAAGTGAAACACAATGAAGGACAAAACATCAATCAGACAGAATTAACGATATTATTTGGATGACCGGTTTCCCATCTTGACTGTCTTCAACGTGTTTTGTCCAACCAAACATCAGATTTGCTACCTATCCAGTCTTCTTACCTGGTGGGGGATGGTGGAAGGTAGCCCGAACTTTATAGTCCATCCACTTCCCATGGTTCAGACTTTAACACACAAATCACTTTTTCGTCAATTCGTTTCCTTATGTAGGCGAGAAGATGAAGCGATCCAGAAATTTATGAAGGAGAAGGGATTCGACGAAGACTACAACAAACTAGAAAGTTATTATTTTGAACAACTCATGGAGATCATCCAGAATATTACTTCAGACGCACCTAGGACTATGACACCGGTTGTGTGGCAGAGTGTATTTGAAGACGGATATCGAGTAGGTTTCTGTTTAAGCGAGGGAATAATCTTACGTTGTTTGTTCTGTATTGTCTTTTCGCACTAACAAACCCTGAGCATCGCTCAATAACTGATGTGATCATTTATGGATTTGAGGAACGTTGTATATAAATATGAATAACCTCAGTGGTGAGAATATATATTCTCTTGTTACTCTAGATGTTCAACTGTCACTGACATCATACTATAAAAACACTACGGATTTCGGATCTTAGAAAGGAATGCAAATTTGAATAACTTAATTCGCAGAATAGACATTCGATATCAAACACAGGTGTATTAACGAATGTTTAATTTATGTAACAACCTTGTTCGCTGTCAATCATTTATACAATCTCACAACTTGTATACGTAATACGACACCTCAGAGCAAGGTGTGTCTCTTAAAACTGGATGGAGGTGACCTGCGTTTAATGTCACTTCATTTATTATGAATTAATCGCATTCGGGGACTTTCAGGATTCTCATACCTTGATGAATTTTTGGACTTGTTCAAGCCAGTAGCGATAAATCTGCAGGATTCAGCACTAAGTTTTCATGTTATACTTTCCCTCTTCATAAACGTTGTTACTAGACTTAAAGCAAAGATAAAGAAAATAAACAGAATACCATGTCATTATGCGACTTTGGAAAGACAGTTAGTTAGGGACCAGCTTCGCCTAATCTGAAATGATGGGTGGAGTATATGTACAACAGTCAAAACAAGTTGTAACAGACGGAACGTTTTCGAATACACGTGAACTGATTCACACGATGGAGAAAGCGAAATGTGTGTATGTGGGTGATAGCAAACAAAGAGACCAAATTAATCATGACTTCATTTTCAAGGTGTTTGACGATATAAAAATAGGTGAACACTCAGATGACTGAATCCAAAACATTAAAGTGACGTGCTTTCTATTGTCAAAGTTCACAATAACATTGACAAAAGAAGTAGGCGAAATCAACTGTCACATCAATAAATACGTGACTACTCCAGTCTCGTTTCAGACAGAATTCTGTAGAAATTTGTGGTTCTTATTCATCATTGTTTTGTCTTCCAGGGCGGCCCTAACACCATTGTACAAGTACTAAATAATTCAGATTGGAAAAGTGCCGTCAAGTCCATCACTTCAGCTGGCTACAGAGTCATAAACTCAGCCTGTTGGTTTGAGGACTACGGAGATTTCACTGACTATGGGGAAAAGTTATACTATTGCAAGCCTGCAGATTTTGTTGGTGAGTCAAGCTTATGGTGAATATTGTTTGAATAAGAAATAATCATCATTGGTCGAGTAAATTGCAAACAAAAGAGTGACCAGGTAGTTATCCTCACTTTGGTGCCACTTCACAACACATTTCACTCGTGATCTTAAAATGTCATCTAGCAGATGTGACTTTATAACGGAAGTACTGAATTCCTGACACGTTGAGCGCTGCATATCACAACTCATCTATAATAATAATAATAATAATATGTCTGCAGCTACACATCTACACGCTTTCCACAGACTTGTAGCATCTACTACTCATGCACGTAAGTGTGGAACTAATTAGAACCCAGATTCACTGAGAAATATTTCAATTTATTAAGATTCCAGGTGCTTGACAACACGAAGTATAGCTGCAATTAGTTAAATACTACTACTTATAATAATAACATTGATAATAGTAATTTTGAGAATATTGACAGATCTTGCACCCATATTTCATCTGTGAAAGGTACTGAAGAAGAAACTAAATTAGTTATCGGTGGAGAATTCGTCATCTGGGGAACATACGTGGATGATACCAATCTACTCTTACAATCGTGGTAAGTGATTTCCCACTCTTAATTCATTACTGAACTCTTCATCTCAAGGTGTCAGAAATCCTCCACTTTTCATCGTCTGCACACAAACATTCAATGCGTAAAATGAAAGTGAAACCTTATCATCGATCAGATTTCACAGATCACCTATAAAAATATCAGTTGTGTAATATGGCCAGCATTTGTGTGTATCTGTACAAGTGATTGCATCTTCTCCAAAGCCACAGCCATTTCTTGCATAATCAGTCCATTCAGCTGACACACACAGAATGAATTTGTGTGAATCAATAATTCTGCTGAAGTTGATGCATTCCACCCATGTATTCCGTTCTGAGTTTCACTGAATCCATGAATTCTCCTTTCCACAAACGTTCTTTGACTAAATCATCTTGACACTTTTCAATAGTAGGAGAAGAGTGAGTTCATAACATGGTAATTGGTGAAGTATTGATTGATTTCATGTGAGATGTCACATCCCTGTTGAAAGGTTACAGTCTAAGATACAACAGTACTGCCTTCTATTTCAACATTTATATGACTCCTGTTAGTTGTGGATGCATTGCAATGGGTAATTAATGGAGATGATTGAATTTCTCAAGTGAACAGAACTTCGAAATTTCCTGAGACACACTAGCGATGTAGGCGGAAATGCGTGTAGTAATCCCGGAAGCAGTGTAGTGGTGTGCGCGTCGAGGACAAGAATTTTGCAGTAGCACGTTGTGCGATGTCTTCTGGAAGAACCTTGAGTGGTGGCAACACAATGTAAGTTGCGAACGAGAGTACTCTGCCTAGTCTGAGTTTTCGTAACATAAGTAGTGGTGGTAGTAGTTGGTGGCGGTGGCGGTGGTGGGGTGGTGTTCTTGTTCTTCCTGTGAACAGAAAGATTTCATTGTGACATTCGTCACCCATTCATTACATATAAATTTTCTTCGCGAAACCCCAACTAAACTAACCCGGAATACTTATTACGCATTCTAACATGTTTTACTTACACTTTATGATCCTATCTGAAAATCTGGGGATTTCATGCAGAATAAACTTCACCGATGAGAATTAATAATCTATCTGACTATCCACCACCTAAACTGTATAGTGCTGGCTTCAGCTACCCACCTTCATGATAACACCATTTTTATTTAGATGACAGATGAGGCGATGAGTGAATCGCACATCTCTTCATGCTGATTAATTTGCAGTTTCAGTGCTGTGGTTGAAGTGTTTCCATTTCTCCCCCAGAGTCAATCTATTCCGCACACCCATATAAATGTGTTAGTCATCAAAAGACAGAATAGTTTCTCAATCCCCACTGTCATGTCGACATAACGCATTAATTATATTTCAAAACGGTATGAATACTATAATGGGTGATTCTGTCAGATTCATTTACTCACTCCTCTACCCCGTACTCGCCCTATGCTTACAGTTGTTTGGAAATCGGCAAAATGCAACGCTTTTCACTGTCATTGAATAATACACCGTTGAATAAAACTGTAACTATTCACTAGCGCCATCATTTGCCCTACTGAATAGAAAGAGAGAGAGAAAAATTCAGTGGCTGCGACAAAGTCTGTTTGTAGAAGTGGTGGTTTGGCTGAAATACGTTGTCACTTGACAACTTCACATGTTTAATCCTTTAAATCTAGTGCATGACTGTAAGCACACTTGACTGGTAATTCATCAAGTGCTGAGGTAGGTTCAGGTTAACCTCTTCACTTCACCCACATGCCTTCATAATGGACACAACTGATTATGAATCGAAGATCGACTATATACTGGCCTCACATGCCGTACAGCATCACAATGTTCAAGTATGTAAATTATGGAAGGTGTATCTGTAACATTCGATTCCTAATTATGAGTGTTTGACGATAGTTGGAGGCCTGGTTAAAACTTGGGCTGTTGAAAACCTCCATCAATGTATCGCATGTAGTTTCTCTTATTCTCTTTGTTTAAATCTAGTAGTATAGTTTGCTCTGGTGGGTGTTTCAAATGTTCACAACCTGCTTACTCTCAAGTTCCCACTAAACATGAGGAAAAGCATTATCCTCGAAGGCAGCTTATCCCCCTACATGACATAATCGTTCCTGAATGGAGTCCCTCAATCACAGAATGCACTCCTAAACTTTTTATGATTGGCATTCAACAAAATGTTGTGTATTTCTTGAAGGAGGCAAAGAAGAGATATCATAACGGATTGGTTTGTGCTTCAGGTCAGATGGAGCTGTGTCACACGATCTACTGTTAATTAATCCTTTATTTACAGATCCTAGATGAAGAGGAAATATCGTACGATAAACTGTGCTAAAACTTATGCACATTATATAAACATTGTTCAGAATACAGCCATTACTGTTATAGTTGAAAGTAAAGCTGAAGACTTTTGAAACACTGAAAAACCATCTCTCACTGTTTCTGTTCACAAAAGCGTGATTCAAAATTAGCTAAGATGATGAAACTATGGTGAGTGAACTTTCTTTCATAAATGCCAACAACACTCTACATATGTGTGTGTGCTTTCATACTCAACATTGCAATAAAATCACAGCTGATTTGACACCTTTGCTCATATTAAACGGCTATCTATGGAATTGTAGGAATTATTTTCGAATGTTGGATTTGTGGTAATTCAACTAAATCCAAGGTTGACTTCGAAATCACTGACTTATGTTGACACTTCTTCCTCTTCTTCTTCACAGTGACTCACTCTCATCCACAACGATGCGTGTAACTGCTGCCAGTAAACATCAGCAGATTTCGAGTTGTTCATTTTCTGATCTGAGTACATCTGATGTGTATGGTGAATTTCATTTGTCACGCTTATTGTCGTCAATGGGATTCTCGTATCTCATAAAGGCATTTATGAATACCTATGCTTGATCTGCAGAGAGAACACCACTGGTCAGCTTTATTAGTCTCCAACCTCTCACATGAATCAAAAACAGCATCACACTGCTTTAATTCAGTGAAATTCATCACCATCTCACAGCATTCAGGTGTCTCTTTGTCTGTCAAGTTACTCATTGTCTAATCTTTTCTCATCAACTC